TCTCTCTCTCTCTCTCTCTCTCTCTCTCTCTCTCTCTCTCTCTCTCTGTCCTCCCACCACTTGGCCCCATACGAAGGAGCAGTCACAAGAAGCAAATCACAGAGTGGGATAAAGCTCCAGCTTTCTAGCCAAAGGACCAAAACAGGGGAATTCCAAGGAACTGAAAAGTGCCAGGGAGATCAGAGAAAGAAAGGAGCCTGGGAAAGGATTTTGTAAAGCTGTTTATGAACTACTGAACTCACCCCTGGGCATGTGTGACTCTTACATAAAACAGTATATCACAGAATTCAAAAACTGCACTGTGGGATAAAGTATTGCTCTGACCTCATACTGGCCACTGAGTGGTGTACACATGGAATAGATATGGAAGGTACTTCGAAGGCTTTGGAAATAGAACTGACATTGAAATCATAATCCACAGAAGACTAGTCAGAATTTGCAGCCTAATCATAACTAGGTTACCTGTTGCTAAAATTGAAAAAAACCAACAAAATCAACATTTTCCATATAACTTTAAGTAAACAAGACCCAATGCTCTATTGCATGATATTCAAAATGTCCAGGATTCAATCCAGAATTATTCTACACATGAAGAATTAGGGGGGGAAAAAAGTTGACTTGAGTGGGACAAGACAATTAGTTGACACAGATGACTTTACGGTAGCTATCATTAAAATCCCTGACAAATTAAGGGTGAATACCCTTGAAATAAATGGAAAGATAGAAAATCTTACCAAAGAAATACAAAGCATAATGAAGAATCAAATGGAACTTTTAACTTTGAAAAAGCTACTAACAAATAAAAAACTAACTGGATGTGCTTCAGACAGTAGGAGATTGAACATGACCAACGAAAGAGTCAATGAACTTGTAGCTAGGCCAATAGAAATTACCTAACCTAAACAAGAGAGAAAAAAGATTAGAAGAAAAAGTTAACAGAGCCTTTAGAGTCTGTGGAACAATATCAGAAGATCTAACGTTCATATCATCATAGAAGAGACTATTGTGTAAAAAGCAAGTATTTGAAGAAATAATTCCTAAGCACTTCTCAAATTTGGCTAACATTATAAATTTATAGATTCAAGAAGCTCAGTTAACCCTAAATAGGGTAAACTCAAGGAATCAATGCTCAGACATGTAATAATTAAAGTGCTAAAAACTAAAGACACAGAAAAAAATATCAAATGCAACCAAAGAAAACTGATGTATTACTTACAGGGAAACAATTATTTGCAAGACTGCCAATTTTCCATGAAAAACATTGAAGACAGAAAGAAGTGGAATATTTTTTATGTGCTAAATGTACTGTAAACCTAGAATTCTGTATGCAGTGAAAATATCCTTTAGGAATGAAGGTGAAATGAGGATATTTTCAGGTAAAGGAAAAAAGAAGTTTTTGCCAGCAGAACTGCTTTAAAACAAGTACAAAAAATACTTAAGAAAAGTTCTTCAGACAAAGTTCTGTCTGAAGAACAGAAGAGAAAGAATGAAGGAAGCATGGAATGTTGGAAAAGAAGGAAGAATAATAGAAATTTAAACATCCGTATAAATACAGTAGGCTACTGTTCTCAAGTTGTTTAAAAGATAAGTAAGGGTTGAAAGAAAAAATACAAAATTATCTCATGAGGATATATATGTATCTGTCATACATGCGTGTGTGTGTGTGTGTGTGAGAGAGAGAGAGAGACTCCATCCAAAAGAAAGAAGGGAATGTGAATAAAAAGGAGAGGGCACAAACAGAAAATAAAACAGTAGAAAAGGTCAATTTTACTACATGCTAATTTTAAAAATAAAATTAATATAAATAAGGAAATTTTAAAAAGTTTATATTTACAAAAAGTTTACTTGTAAAATATAGGGCACAAGCTTCCCCAAGAATGACTTGAGTATCTAGATTACATCAATGACTAATCTGACCACAAATGAAAACCAGGAAGATAATGATATACTCACCACTGCTTGCCCCTCTACAGTTTCCATTACTAGAATCCATAGGAAAATCTGAAAGGAAGTGACAGAACAAAGAACCATAACATATTTATTTTATTTCAAGAATTTCTAAAGATAAGAATCTAACTCAGTCCCAAGTTTGATTTGGGTAAGAATCCAATTGTCTGAAGGAAGTAGACTCTTATTAATGTCATGAGGTTGGCATTCTTATCATTTGTGGGCTTTGAGTATGGATGAGATCTATTTTTTCATGTGGCTATAAGGAAATACTCTTCTGAATACTCATCAACTGTGCATAAAATCTTAGAATTAATAATTTATTTGAATTTCACAAAATTTATAAATGATAAGCATCCTATCACAATCAAACCTATGCAAATATTAGGCACTCATCCAACACTTATGACTTGATGACAAAAAGAACCAAACACATCTTCAATAAATAGACATATCACACTGAACTGGTATATATTTAAATCCTTAGTTCCTAAACGAACACTCAGAAATCACTCTCATGTCCTTTAACTGCAGGCTAAATAGTTCTTCAGTCGAAAAGAAACCTACTATTTAGGGACTCTTCAAGCCAGTGCAATTAATAGATGCGACAATAATTAGAAATTGCTATTGATTCTTTCTATGATGCCATAATCCCAGAAAATGGTAATGATAAAGGTTTTCTGTGTTCTAATTAAGAAAACAACCTCTAATGAATAACACTTAGTGCATCAGCAGAGCTCCATGCTGAGAGATGCTGGACCTAGCAATATATCTTTATCGACACTCCAATTCAGTACTTTTATGAGTTTTACATTTGTAGTAACACTTTATGCTAAACTAGTTTAATGCCTCTATTTATTCTCAGAGAAAATAGTATTCTTCCTTTGTCCTTTTTGTTTATAAGTCCTACCAGGAATAAATTAAACGAGGGGTTAATACTATTTTAGGACAATAACCCCCACAATTACAATTAATGAATTACTTTCCCAGGTTTAGTAATCATCCGCAAGTATTTAAAAAGCAACATCCAAGAAAAGATAGCAGTCCGCAAACAAACAGATAAGCAGGTAACAAACACTAATTCTGAAACATTTGCCTCAACTTGGGCATAAACTATTAATTACTAATACTTTCATTATATTCAAACATTCATTTATGATAAATGTACCCAAGTATTACAGTAACATGCCAGTGGTTTTTCTATTTCTGAATAATCATGTGATAAAATGCATACAAAAATAATGTCTTTATAAAGGAAGAAATTATGTTGGCCCACATTTGAAATGTTTATTATTCAAAGGTAGAAATAAGAGTGAAAAATAAAACTTTGCTTGGTAAAAGGGAATCACTTCAAAATGGCTAAGCCAAGGAGACTTTTACTTCTTTCATTCTTCAAAGGAAAATGTTTCTACACTTTTACAAATGCTTAGAAGTCAACTGTTAGAACTGAAAGACAGAAAACAAAAAGTTTCTAATAATTGATCAAAAAAATATTATCAGAAAGTTAAACTTAGGAACTCTAACAACAAATTACCTTAAACGAAAATAGATATTATTAGTAAGTTTTATGCCCCAGGATTTCTAGTGGAGGTCAGAGGTTTCCAGAGGAGTCCTAAGGAGTTAGGAAATGTAGGGAGAGCTTTCCAGATAGAGAATAGCATTGCAAAGGTACTGGGGTGAGATGCCCGCAAACGTGGCTGAAACGAGACCAGTCTAAACAGAGAGAAACAAGCTAGAGGAGTCAGAAAGGCAAAATCACGCAGGCCAGAGGAAGACACCCAAGGATTTTAAGCAAGAGATTTGCATTTCAGAAAAAATATATATTGGAATATGGAGGGGAAACACTGGAGATAAGAGAGACCATTATCATCCTATGGCCATAATCCCAGTGAGAAATGGTGAGGTCCAAACTAAGAAAGTAGCATTAGAGAGGGAGGGAAGGAAATTTGAGTCAGAGTAGACCCAACAGCATGTGATATCTATTGAGTGAGGGGAATGAGGAAAAAGGTAGAATCAAGACTGCTTCCCACAGCCAGGTGTGGTGGTTCACACCTGTAATCTCAGCACTGTGAGGCCAAGGTGGGCAGATCACCTGAGGTCAGGAGTTTGAGACCAGCCTGGTCAACATGGCAAAAACCCATCTCTAACAGAAATACAAAAATTAGCTGGGCGTGGTGGCATGTCCCTGGAGTCCCAGTTATTCTGGAGGCTGAGGCAGGAGAATTGCTTGAACCTGGGAGGCAGAGGTTGCAGTGAGCCGAGATCATGCCACTGCACTCGAGCCTGGGTGACAGAGTGAGATTCTGTCTCAAAAAAAAAAAAAAAAAAAAGACTGCCTCCCAGGCCTGGACTACTGAAGTATGGTGGTACCTTTCAACAATATAGAAAATGCTAGAAAGAAACAAGTGTATGATGATGGGGAAATGATGAGTTCACTCTGGGGCATGCCAAGACAGAGAGAATAGGGACATGAGAATCTGGAATGTATAATCTCTACTATCTCAAAATTGCAGTGAAGTCAGAATCTCTTATCTCTTTGAATCCATTGTCTAGAAACCACCTTTTATTCTCTTAAACCGTATATAAGCTGACTTCAAAATACAATGAGAAAACTTTTGTTCCTTTAACTGCAATCTGCTAGGCAAAGAATAACAGATTCTCTAGAAAGTTAGGAATTACATTTCTTAAGGGAGGAAGTGTAGTGTAGAACAGGCTCTGCTTTGAATTCTCTTTTTCTTACTAGCTCTGCTAACTCGGACAGTCACTTCGCTTCTCTACATGCCTTGGTTTCCTTTTCTCCAAAATGGGAATAATAGCCCCTACCTTGTGGTCATGAGAATTAAATGAATGTGCAAAATGCACTCACGACAGCACCTAGAACATAAGTGTTGGTTGCTTTTATTGTGATGCTAATGGTTCCTGTCCTCAGGATGACACGTCCTCTCCCCAATGATGTTGTTAAACATTTATATTGTGCTTTACCGTTTATCAGTAATTTCATGTTAATATTTCTTTTGTTCTTCACAGTCCTCAAACAATGTCAATGTCAAGTGACCAGTTCAATGTACAAAATTAATGGCAAATCTAGAATTCCAACTAAGGGCCTGTAACTCTAAAACTGTGGTTTTTCCTAAATTGAGGAGATGTAGCCAATTCTTAATTATTCAAAACTATGTCTATCTGTTGGCTCTTGGTCTCCTCATTCTAGACTCAAAGTAGAACCCGAGGAGCCAAATATAACCTAATCAGTTTCACAATTTGTAGCAACAACTATCTGAAGGTTTAGTGGGAATGAGATAAAAAGTAAATTATTAAAATAAGACTTGGAGATGACATAAGATTACTCCTGATAATGGGGGTTGCTCTAAATAAATTAAACACTATTAATATAACACTGAGATACCCTTCCCTAATCCATCCAGAGTGCCTTTCAGAATTTTACACAATGAAGGATCCTGAGAAGCATGTTTTCCCTTTCATTCTAATCTAAAATTTCCATTTCTCCTTTCCATTTTCCTCCTCATATCACACTAAATAATTCTTCCTTCTTGGTACTTGGCCCCTCAAATATTTGTAGACCAGGGCTAAAGAAAAGACTGCCTGTTTCTCTGGGAGTGGAGAAATGATTAAATGGCAGCTCCTGCATATGAAAGTTGGCACAGCTCTGCCAGGAGAGAGAAGGCCTGCAGAAACGCGTTGAGCAAGAGCTGGGGAGAAAAGTTAGCACTGCCACAGAAGCCAGCACTGACTGAGGAATGATTATGAAGCCCTTGGCACGGCAAACTGTAGGTGTTGTGGAAATAGCTGTGAAATATCATACCATAAATTTTCTTAACTGCTTGATTCCTGGGTTTCTGAGATAAATTATTTGTAATTAACTCGTCCATCAGACTCATTCTTTTTTCTGTCGCTCCCAAAGGGATCTGCTCTTGAGCCTGAGGTCTAGGTCAATTTGTGTAAAATGAAATACTACCTTTATATTTTTAGAAGAAATAAGATTTGTTTTTCCAGTTAGGTCCCAGTGTAAAGCTTTTTTGTTTTGTTCTTCCCCAGAGATGAACTAATAAACGTTCTAGGCTGCATGTGCATTTACCAACATAACCATTTCAAAAACAAAATAGAAAATGTTAGTCAATTTGTTATAACACTGATAATAGTAAAACAGCAGCAGCAATTTTTTCAGTGCTTACTAGGTACTAAAGCAATGCTTTATATGCTGTTTAATTTCTTTTCTTTTCTTTTTTTTGAAACAGAGTCTGGCTCTGTCACTCAATCTGGAGTACAGCGGCGCCATCTCAGGTCACTGCAATGTCCGCCTCCCGAGTTCAAGTGAGTCTCTTGCCTCAGCTTCCTGCAGTAGCTGGGACTATAGGCGTGCACCACTATCCCAGGCTAATTTTTGTATTTTCAGTAGAGACAGGGTTTCACCATGTTGGCCAGGCTGGTCTCCACTCCTGACCTCAAGTGATCCACATGCCTTGGCCTCCCAAAGTGCTGAGATTACAGGAGTGAGCCACTGCGCCAGCTTTAATTTCATCTTTACCATGCCCTTGGGATGTAGATGGTTTTGTCCTGATTTTACAGATAAGAAAACTTTGAGTTACAGAGGTCATATAAATTTCCTAAAACAATAGTTGATGTGTGGGCAGAGTCATTCAACACCTGGTTTGCCCTACTCCAAGCCTATCCTCTTTACTCACCATACAATATTAAAGATTTGACTGAATGTCATCACTAACTTGCTGAATGACTAAATTGAGCTGAGTTTTCAGATAATCAGTTGTACATGTAGTCACACTATAGCAAATATAAAATGTGTAAGATGAATAATAATGGCCAGGATGGAACCCGTTCTTTTCAAAAATATGTTTACCTTAGTATTTTGAAAGGAAAAAAGTAGTTTCAAGCATTACTCCATTTCAATAAGACTGCTTTGGAAAAGGTCCTAAGCTTGTTTGTGGAGTCATGATATACTATGAGAGAACAGATCCCCATGAATGGGTAGGATTTGAAAATCCTCTTGGCATAGAAAGAATTTGAAATATTGTCCTATTTTATTCAGGGAGACTTCATTTTTATATCTAGTTGGACAGATACTAGTCAAAAGACACAGGGATTCTGTTTATACCCAAATGAACAAGGAAAAAACCTTGCTTTGTGAACTATCACTTCCCACTGAATCAAAGAGTATATTGGATATTGCATCGTAAATTATCCTGGCCACATGTGGTAGTTCCTAAGTAATTCCAGGTGTCTGACAGTTTGACCCAGCATAGGGAATGTAATTTTCAACAAGCTGGCCCTGGAAGCCAGGAGACCCTTCAGGCTACAATCTACGTACTTCATTCCCAATTCCCACCTCCCCACACCTTTCAGCTCCCCCTGCCACCACAGCCTCTGGTTCACACTAAAGCTTATGGAAAGGAGCAGGAACACCATCACTAACTATGATTCCAACTACCACCTATTTTTCTAGCAAGGATGCTGTCAGTAAAGCAAATATTCTGGCATTTTAAAGAAGCTTAGAAATCAGGTCCCATGAACTGACAAATTGTTTCCATGCATGTCCTATTTGAGTGCTTCAGTGAGGCAACTGTTTCTATGTTTGTTCCACAATGATGGGTAACTCAGGGACACTTAATGAAACTGCTTCCCATCCATATTGACTATGGCTTTTTGAGAGCCATTAACCTTGCCAAACCTCACTCACTCTAGGTCCACCTCTAAGGGAGGTTTAAGAGCAAGTTTTGTGCTTTACGGGAAGGAATGCATTTCAGCCTGAACCACTGCCACCTCATTCCTAGCCCTTGGCCTGAGAGGAGCACTTGCATTTAACTGATTCTAAGTGCCTGGCAAACCAGAGCGGCAACTGCACTGGGCACTTACAGACTTTGCAGTCTGTGACTTCAATGAGTACGAAGCCTCAAGCATGCTCTTTTAGCAAAGATTAATAAGGAATACATTTCTGTGATGATTTTACGCAACCAGCTTTTGGTTCTTGATTAAAATCAAGAAGACAATAGGTATATTCAAAAAGTGATAAACTAAGTGAGGTCACCATTAAAAAGTTCTTGAAATTTTTCTCTTCGCTTTTTTTCCTTCGGCTATTTTTACAATTACTTCTCTCTCACTTTGTTAAACGAGTCAATGTGCACAGAAAGTACTTTTTCCAAATCAATACCCTGATAACTAAGAATTACTACCTGGAAATGGACTGGGGACATGTGCCTAGACTGTGCAAGTTGAAAGAGGAAGGAAAGTTGATGCGCAAGAAATAAACAGATGGAGGCAACCAAGTAACCAAGTCAACACATCTAAGAACAGAGTTGTTGGGGCGGGGTATGAAAGAGGACCGCTATTGAAAAAAATTGCCTTCTTTGTAAAATATATGAAGGGTAAAAATTTGAGGTTTGGGTTAGTTGGTAGAAGTAATACTGAGTTAGAATTAAATGGACCATAATGAAGTAGGTTTAGTTGCAGTCTTAAAGTTACAAATGTCATAATTAGACTAAACACTAGTGAGAAAACGACTTGTGATTGACTCCATTAAATTTAGAGCTGCAATAAAGTTTTATGGTAGAGAAAGACTGAAATGACTGTGGTTGGTGCACACATGGAAAAGGAGCACGAAATAAGGTATTAAAGACAATTTTTTTCCCAAATATGAGAGTGGAATAAGGGGTGAGATTTAAAATAACATTACATGAGTGTATGATAACACACCTTAAATATAATTCCTTTCATCTGTGTGCCACTTATAAAATGACTTGAAGGCATGTGGGCATGTGAAAAGAGCCCAGTAATTTCAGTCTGCCAGCTCTATGGCAAGCACAGAAGCTAATTAACAGTGCATAGCAATGTTTCACAGTTGTTTCATTCTGGAATGGAAGAACAATTTATCTCATTGAAAGGAGGGGGAAATTTAAGATGAAGGTAATTGCTCAAATTGAATCTTGAGCAAACACATACCCCTAACATCTGTCGGTTAGAGTAAGGTTATTGAAATTATCTTGGCATTTTTAATTAGAAGAAAATGGGGCTTCAGTTTTCTGTTTCCTCCATACAATCTTAACAAGCATCTAAGACACTAAAGATACAGAAACCTGATGACTGAGATTGCCTGAGAATCAGCGAAGAAAACCCAATGATTATAGACAAATTTTAAAAGAAAAAGAGCATCACTTTACAGAATGTGGCTACTTCCACATGTAAAGAGTTGAAGTGAAGGATTCCTGTGGAGTATAAGTGTGATGGGCTTGGAATGCATGGATTGTTTTAAAAAGATCACCTATTGGAACAGAGTGCAAGAATGCATCAGTGTGGAAGGTGATAAGGTGAGGGCTTTTCTTGTTTTTGTAAAAAGAAAGAAGAAAGAAGAAGAAGGGTGTTTGATAGAGGAGCAGTTAAGGGAGAGATTAAGATAAGTGATCCGAAGAGAAAAAAATTAGAGTAAAGGCTAGTAACAAGGACTCCAAGAAGTGAGGAGGTGTAGGGTAAGGGAATGGTAGGCCGTGTCAAAACTCACCAGTTCCGTCCGCAGTAACGATGGCCTCGGGAGAGATGCACACGCCCCGGTCGTACACTGGCAGCTCCTCGCAGGCCAGGCTCTCCGGCCACGAGTGGCGGTATTTGATGAGGATGGGCTCGCAGCCCTGCCGGGCCCGCTCGCACACAGACTTACAGGGTTTGATGGGCTCGTGCTGGAAGTCAATGGTGCAGATGGGCGCGTACATGGCACAGAGGAAGAAGAGCAGATCGGGGCTGCAGTGGGTGCCCAGCAGACCTTCGAACTGCTCGATGGCCAGGATGGCGTTGGCCTGAGTGCTGTGGTGCAGGTGGTTGGGCATCTTGGTCATGTTCCAGGGCAAGGACTTGCACAGGGGGATGCGGACGGGCTCACAGGCTGCAGCCCGAGCCCCGGGCACCGGGAATAGGCAGAGAGCAGCCAGGGCAAGCAGCCCGGCCCGCAGCAGCAGCATCCCTCCCGGGCTGCCGCAGACCATGATCCCGGCAGGATGGGGCAGGGTGCAGCCGCGCAGTGGACGCTGAGAGGCCCGCTCCGCCGTCTCCGCCTCCCCCCCTGCAAGTGGACACAAGGATCTGGGAGTTTCTCCTCCCCCGGCAATCACCGCTTCCTTGGATCAAATTCCCCCAATGAGGTCCCACGAGCTTTACCGAGCTCCAGCCGCCGCCCCTGCCGCCCAGGCTGCTCTTTCCCAACTTCTAAGCCTTCGGAGGCAGCAGCATCTATTTATTCCTCTTCCTCTGGCAGAAGCATCAGACTTCGCAGATCAGTCAGATAAAAGGGACACGAGAGGAGGCGAGGAAGACATAAAAACAAAAGTAGAATTCAGCTGAGAGATAGTTGGAACTCTGGGGTGTCACGTCCCCTAGATCAAGCACACAAAAAGATGCTAAAGAAAGCATTAAATTCCCCAAAGTGAGGAGGACAGAGGGGTTGGGGAGAAGGAGGGAGGAAAAGTTCCTAATGGGGGAGAAGGGTGTAGTAAGAGTTTGCAAATCCTGCGGGCTAAGAACTGCGGCCGCCGCTGCGACTGCGACCCTGGCTGGCAAGAGGGACGCTCGGGAGGAGCCTCGCCGGGAAGTCTGTGCCTCGACCCCGGCAGCTCTGCACTTTCCTACCTCCGACCCCGAGAGGGAGCTCCGCCCCTGGGGCAGTCTCTGCCCTCCAGCACCGGCTGCTCTTCCCAAGAAAGGAGTGGGCGCCCGGGGGAGAGAAGGCCTGGGGGTCGCGGGCGGTGGGGCGTGAAGCCGTGCGAAGCGGTGAGAGTGCGAGACCCCAAGACAGCGCCGAGTCGATCCACGCCCTCACACGGGGGAACCCGTCTTTGACCCCAGAGACGAGCCCCTAGCCCCTCACTCAAGAGCCCACCCCAACTCCCTATGGAAAAGTCCGCCTAGTTCCCCACTTGGGATCCCACCCGAGACCCTCCTTCCTGGAGGTATTTCCCTTAAGCAAACTGCAGCTTTTCCTTGCAATCACTGGCTCTGCAGAGAGTCATACCTGTTGAGGGGAAAGGCTTAAGCAATGTCACTTTGTCCAAGTAGCGGAAAACACAGACCCCTGCGAGCAGCGGTGGAGACTTATCAACCCGGAGCTAGTGACTACAGAGCTCTCCATTTTCAGTAACTGCGGGGGAGGAGGTGGGGCGGGGGGGAGGATTGCCTTTCAAAAAAGAAAGAAAGAAAGAATACAAATAGGCCACCAGAAGCAAGGAACAGGGATTTTTTTCTTCTATTTGTTTCCCCCAGTGGAATTAGAACTTCTGAGTTTTGCTCCTTAAGCATTAATGCGGAAACTAACAGCTCTAATGCACTTGGACTTTTTTTTTTCTTCTGATTTTGCTCACGAATAATATGGCAGATATTATCTGTTAATAACTCTTCTCAGCAACAATTTTGCCCGACACTTAAAAAAAAAAACGTGTAGGAAAACGACATCACGCAGGTAATAATGATGATTATAACAACAATCAAACCCTTTCCATCCAGATGAGTTCAATCTGGAGGAGAAAATGGAAAACAGATCTCCTCCTGGTCTGCTCCTTCCACTAATGAACCCCCCTTCCCCCACCCCCGCCCCACACTCCCCTTTCAGCTTATATTGTAAATGGAATGACCTGCAGAGGCCTTCACACTATGCCCTCTCAATGGGAAATCACTGAGCAAAAGGATTGCCGAATGTCAGAAAACACAGCCTTCATTGAGAGGAGAAGGAAACAAAACCTGAAGCAAAACAGGAAGTCACCTTTGCTCCGCATCACTGAAATATTTCTCTGCTTTAATTTAGCCATCTCTCACCGTCCATAACAAGCAGAGAAAATATGTCCCCACTTCAGAGCACGTAGTGAGATGCTCGTTTCCATTCCCTAGAGTGACCTGACAGCACTTATAAAATGTCAACGCTAACTTGAGTTATGGAATTTTATCTCTAAAATGACCATAAACAGCAGTTTGTGACTGCAGTAAATTTTTTTGGAAGGAAGTTTGTTCCACTTATAGTAGCGGGGGCGGGGAACACCAGATGGTAGACAGGGAGTCAGTTAGTATCCAAACTTTGCCCGGTCTGCAATTATCTAGTGTCATGTAAGAGAACAAATTCAAAAATTGTACAAACGAATTTAAAATGATTTACCAAGTAAAATTTAGAGGAAAAACAACTTTAGAAGACAGTCAACATTAGAACATTTGGGGGCTATTCTGTGTAATAAAAATACAGCTGAGATTTTCTTAAGTTAGAAGAAAAAACATCAGGAGTAGATGTAGTAAATTGTTTGCTAAATACATTTTTCTGTTCATCTTAAGTCTTACAGTGTAAGAAGAAATGTGCCAATAGTTTGAAAGGTTCTGCAACTATTTGAAACAAAGTCTGTTTTCCTTCCCCTGCACACAAGTCAGCTATCCTCTTCGTCTAATAGGTCTCCTTACAACTTTAATCCAAATTTGTTTTATAAAAAGCCCAAAATAAATGTCACTGTCTTGAGGAAGCCCTTTTGAGTACCTTGTCTAGTTGTGTTCATTTTTCTGGTTAGTTATCCTTGAACAGTGTTTGTTTTTACAAATTATTCTTTTTTTTTTTTTTTTTTTTGAGATGGAGTTTTGCTCTTGTTGCCCAGGTTGGAGCGCAGTGGCGCTATATTGGCTCACTGCAACCTCCACCTCCCGGCTTCAAGAGAGTCTCCTGCCTCAGTCTCCCTAGTAGACTCATAAGCTCTCCACTTGTGAGTCTCCAAAATCTTTTATACCACTCAAAGGTATGCCTTCGTGTACCCATAGCTTTGTTCTCATTTATAAGTGAGAAGATACAGTATTTCGTTTTCCATTCCTGAGTTAAATCACCTAGTATAATGGCCTCCAGCTCCATCCAAACTGCTGCAAAATACATTATTTCATTCTTTTTTATGGGCTCCACACAACGCATATCCAGGTGAGGACACCTGGCTGGCTAAGAGCTGCAGCATAGCGCCCCCTAGCACCTAGTTGGGACTGTGGGGTTAATTCTAGGCTCAACCACTGCTTAGGAAGTGCGCCCAGACCCAGTGATGGCCAGTCAAGCGTCTCAGGATGAGTGATGATACCATGATCACTGGCATTTGGTTTAACTTCCTGACAGGTAGGTGTTCCTGTGGCAATGTCAAGAAAAACATCATGCTAGAGTATATTACTTTGATACGGCCATATTACCAAAATTCAAATTTGGCCAATTTCCACCTCCCTGCCCCAATTTTGCAATGTCTTTTTTTGTCAGTAATTTAAATATTCACATTATTTTTTCATCTGTTTGAATAAACTGTAAACCTACCCTAGGTTTGTGTTAGTAAGTCTACCCACATTTTTGCTATAAGAAAATGTGTTTGCAAAAAATACAAAAGAAAATATTCTTACATTTTCACAAGCAGAGCTAATGTGTAAAATAGTTAACAACTGGTACAGTTGAACACCAGCAAGTCAGAATGGCTGTGGCCATGCCCATTCTATACTATCAGGGTATCAAGGAGCAAGGAATTAGTGTTTATTGAGTACTTGCGAGTATTTTATGTGAGGTACATAAACCACTTTTTAAGCACATAAACTGCACAAGGTATTAGTTCCAAAGATGAAGAAAATAAGGCTCCATAAGATGAAGTTTCCCAAAGTTATCACAGATAGATAAGGGCCTGGCAGAGTGAGATTTGAATCCATGCTCTTTTAACAATTCAAATAATCTGCTTCATACGCAGAAAAGAGCCAGGGAAAGGGAAAAACCAGGGATCTCTGTGAGCCTGGGTCTCAGCCTGCACCCTGACCACACCAACTGTCAGATATTGGCTCTATCTTCTTAAGAATAGAAAGATGTTGGCCGGGTGCGCTGGCTCATGCCTGTAATCCCAGCACTTTGGGAGGCCAACACAGGTGTATCACAAGGTCAGGAGTTCAAGACCAGCCTGACCAACAACATGCTGAAACCCCATCTCTACTAAAAAAAAAAAAAAAATTAGCCGGGCATGGTGGCGCGCGCCTGTAATCCCAGCTACTCAGGAGGCTGAGGCAGGAGAATTGCTTGAACCCGAGAGGTGGAGGTTTTAGGGAGCAGAGATCAAGCCACTGTACTCCAGTCTGGGTGACAGAAAGAGACCCCATCTCAAAAAAAAAAAAAAAAAAAAAAAAAAAAGAATAGAAAGATGTCAAGATGTCAAGCCCAATGAGAAGCTTTGGATTTCAGATGGGGAGACCTCCTTGCTCATAGCCTGTACCTGAAGTATTCTGCAGACCTAGTAATTCCTTGAGTTCTGTCTTAGGAAGAAGATCTTACCCTTTCCCATCTCCACACAAACCAATAAAATCTTCCCAACTGTTCGATGCAGCAACCTTAGGGCAATGATTCTCAAACTGAATCATGCAGCAGAATCCCCTGGAAGGCTTCTGAAAGCATAGGTTGCTGGGCTTCATCCAGAATTTCTGATAAGGTAAGAATTTGCATTTCAAATAAGTTATCAGGTGATCCTAATACTGCTGTCCAGGAACAACACTTTAAAATCACTCTTTTGAACTAGATAGTAAGCTTTGATTTACCCCGAGTAAATGCTTTTCATGCTATAAAGATTTCATGATTTGATCTCTTTTTATCTTTTCTCATAGGAAAATTGGAAACAAAATGTTAATAAAGCAGCCTAATAGCTAAATGACTCTCTAAAGTTTGTCTAGATACCTCTACCACTCAAAGGTCATAATAATAGCCCCAGTGAGACTTGGTCTTACAATCAACTGGCCCTCTGGCCTTCATGTACTGTCCTAAGGGTCACAGCATCACTCCACCCCCATTGCAGAAGAAGAATGATAGATCCAGCTTCAAAGAAGTTGCAGAAGGAACCTTAATATCTTAGTGGTGGAATGAATCTCAGCAATCTAATCCACCCACCTCTTTCACCTCTGCAACCTCCTAGCCCTCCCCACCATACCTTAATTTGAAGAGAAGACTCGAGATAAAATCACTTACCCAAAATCATGAAGTTAATGGCACGTATGGCAGACGTACCTACCAGCAGCAATAACTTAAGCATGCCCTGAGAATGACCCTATGGTCTAAAAACAAGGTGTGTTCAGAGATGTGAGCTAAGGAATTCAAAAGTGACCAATCCAGAGATTAATTCATTATTTATGAGGAACCTATGAACCCCCAGCCCATCCCATGGAACGCAGACCATACCGGGGATTGAGGCTGTTTGTTTCGGGTTAAATGAAGGTTGTCAGGTAGGGGTTCCTAAGGAGAGGGTGCCAAGTGAAAATTCTATATAAACAGTGTGCTTTCTACAAATGGTAGTGGTTCTCCTGTCCAGCCCACTGCCACTGGACTACCCTGTATGCAAGTTCCCTCAATAAACTCCATGTCTCGTTTGCTGCCTCTGGGTCCCTTCTTCAGCTTCTTGAACATGGCACCATTCTTACTGAAGTCAATAGGGTTCTGGCATGACACAGCAACTCATATGGTTTGGCTGTGTCCCCTCTGTCCCCAGTAAATCTCACCATGAATTGTAATCTTCATAACCCGTATGTGTCAAGGGCAGAGAGGAAGTCAAATTGTCCCTGTTTGCAGATGACATGATTGTATATTTAGAAAACCCCATCGTTTCAGCCCCAAATCTCCTTAAGCTATAAGCAATGTCAACAAAATCTCAGGATACAAAATTAATGTGCCAAAATCACAAACATTCCTATACACCAATAATAGACAGAGAGCCAAATCATGAGTGAACTCCCATTCACAATTGCTACCGAGAGAATAAAATACCCAGGAATTCAACTTATAAGGGATGTGAAGGACCGCTTCAAGGAGAACTACAAACCGCTGCTCAAGGAAGTAAGAGAGGACACAAACAAATGGAAAAACATTCCATGCTTATGGATAGGAAGAATCAATATCGTGAAAATGGCCATACTGCCCAAAGTTATTTACAGATTCAATGCTATCCCCATCAAG